GCAGGGGCTCAGGCAATCCACTCACCTCAGCCTCCCAAAGGCGCGGGATTACAGGCTGAGCCACTGAGCCCGGCTTCAAAACTCTTTATAATGAAATGAATCACATGACTGACATTACCATATATTCATACCTAAATTTGCCTCCTTAAAAAGGTTAAATAAAAATTCTTAAATAAAAAAGTTTTTATTTCATATATACTAAGGTCAATGTCCACTGGCTAAGGTTATCAACAATTAGCAAAGGGTTTCTTTGTAAGGTCCTTGATGGCAGACAACTTGTCTTACTCTTCTTTCTGTGCCTCTAAAATCTTGCACCAGTTATCAACGCTCAAGAACCTACTGAGGAAGGCAGAAAAGCCAGATTCTAATCCCAACTCTTTTACTAACTACATGTGGTACTTTGGAGAAGTCATTTGTGACACTGAGTTTCAGGATTTTTGCTCATAAATTAAGGGGTTTGAATTATATGAACATTCAAAAATCAATCCTTCTTTTATAATAAAAAAAATGTCAAGAAAGAGCAAACCAATGACCAAATGATTTCCATAACCTACCTCCACATATTTTTCCATTTCACTACTGAGCTTTCTTTCTTAAAAACCATTCAGTTTTATCTAGTGTTCAATTTCAATTTTCATTACACACTTTCAGCATCAATACATACAATATAAGGGAACATTTAAGATGGTTTAATTAATTAATTAATTAATTATTTTTTTGAGTTGGAGTCTCACTCTGTCACCCAGACTGGAGTGCAGTGGCCGCTCCCGGCCACCGCAGCCTCGACCTGCTGGGCTCCGGCAATCTTTCCACCTCAGCCTTCCGAGTAGCCAGAATTACAGGCGTGCGCTACCATGCCCGGCTAATTTTTTGATTTATTGTAGAGATGAGGTCTCACCTGCCCAGGCAGGTCTCGAACCCTCGGGCTCAGGCAATCCACTCACCTCAGCCTCCCAAAGGTGTGGGATTACAGGCTGAGCCACCGAGCCTGGCTGGTTTAATTTATATTTGATCAATTTTATAAGAACTTTCCACTTGAAGATGTCACATTTGAAATACGAAAGTAAAAACGTTAGATTGGCAGAGCCCAAATTTTGCTGGAAGAAAAGCAAAAGATATTCCCTTTCCTCCAAATGTCCTTGACTTTTAACACATCTCCCTAAACTACAAAAATCCTGAATAAGGTGACACTTTGCCCAGAGGAACCTTCGATGAGGGATCAAACCTCCAGAGCCTCCCCTCGAGTCTTACCTTGCCAGCACGTTGCTACCAACAAGTGTTATCGATAACTTCCCTTCATCGTTTAGCTGATGTAGATTAATTTCATCTCGGAATATGTGGAATGATTCAGAGATATTTAGCTCTTCTAAAATAAACCTTGTCTCAGTGAAGTAGTTGAATTCAGTTCTTGGTATATTCAGTACTGGTAAACAGAGAACCCCAGGTGGACTGACCTACCAAGAAAAATAGTTGACCAAATCACTGAACAGAGAAAGAAAGACCCCAACTACATTTTCTCCAGCCCAAGGGTAACTGGTAAAGGGAATGTAAGTCTTCTGGCCTCACTAAACCATTTGACATTCACTACCAAATTTTCCTGAACACAATTGGTAAGGCATTATCCACCGGTAAGTGACCTCAAATATATATATGTGTGTATTTTTAGTTGGAGTCTCATGCCATCGTCCAGACTGGAGTGCAGTGGCACGCTCCTGGCCACTGCAGCCTTGACCTGCTGGGCTCAGGTGATCCTTCCATCTCAGCCTTCCAAATAGCCAGGAACTACAGGTGTGCACTACCACACCCAGCTAATTTGTTGATTTATTGTAGAGACGAGGTCTCACCATGTTGCCCAGGCTGGTCTCGAACTCAGAGGCTCAGGTAATCCTCTTGCCTCGGCCTCCCAAAGTGCTGGGATTATAGGCTTGAGCCATCGTGCCCGGTCACCTCTAATATTTTTAAACTCTTGTTACTCTACTTGAAACATCTCATGCCTTACTTACCTATTTTATGTCTCACATCAACCCCTCCAAGATTAAATATATATATACATTTTCCTCTTCAGGAGTAACAAGTTCTCATGTCTTTATAAAATTGGCAGAAAATGAGGACAATTGAGGTAGGTCAGGTAGGGACTGCAGTGACACAGGAAGGCATATATGTCCCATTTAAATGGGATGTCTCCCACTCATCTTCAGTCAATGGTTCTCATGCAAAAATTCAGGTCCAGTGTAGTTAAATCTTTTAATTACTCAAGAAAAGCTTGAAATCTAGATGTGAGGGTATTATTTGTGATGCTTACTTATTACAATTAATTCAAAATACTATGTCACTCAGTAGAAACTCATTTTTCAGTCAGATTTGGCCCACAGACAACCAGATTGTAATCTCTATTGATTTATTATCTTTTACTAACAAACTTCTTATTCAAATATTTTATTATCTCAGTGAAGTAGCTGAATTCAGTTCTTGGTATATTCAGTAATGATAAACCAAGAACCCTAGGTTGATCAAACAATGAAAATAGCAGGAGGAAAGAATATAACTACATTTGCATTTACTATCTTTTATTAGCAAACTTTTTTTTTTTTGAGTTGGAATCTCACTCTGTTGTCCAGGCTGGAGTGCGGTGGCACACTCACAGCCACCCCAGCGTCGACCTGCTGGGCTCAGGCGATCCTTCCACCTCAACCTTCCAAGCAGCTGTAACAGGTGCACGCTACCACACCCGGTTAATTCTTTTTTTTTAACTGTAGAGTCGAGGTCTCATCAAGTTGCCCAGGCTGGTCTTGAACTCACAGGCTCAGGCAATCCACTTGCCTTGGCCTCCCAAAGTACTGGAATTATAAACTGAGCCACCGAGCCCAGCCATCAAACTTCTTATTAAAAAAATTTTTTTTTTTTTGGTGGCAACCAGGTAAAACAGGAGATGGGTGAGAGGTAAAGAATTTCAGATTCACAATAATAAAATTATGATTATGATTATGATTATGATTATTTTGAGTTGGAGTCTCACTCTGTCGCCCAGACTGGAGTGCAGTGGCACGCTCCCAGTCACCGCAGCCTCGACCTGCCAGGCTCCGGCGATCCTTCCGCCTCAGCCTTCCAAGTAGCTGGAACTACAGGTGCGTGCTACCACGCCCGACTAATTTTGATTTATTGTAGAGATGAGGTCTTGCCAAGTTGCCCAGGCAGGTCTCGAACCCGCAGACTCAGGCAATTCACTCACCTCAGCCTCCCAAAGTGCAGGATTACAGGCTGAGCCACGGAGCCCAGCTATAAAATTATTTTTTTTTTTTACAGAAATTTAAAAAACAAAGTTCCTTTAAAAAATTTTTGTGAGTATATATCAATAGCCCAAACTATTGCTGAGAGAATATAGGGTCTGGCAACATGGAATTTTTATATAAAGTAAATGGCCTTTCTTCTCACATCACCACTAGCTCCGCCACAAATATAGTCCTTATCACACAGTTTTAGCATTTTTATCATCTGTCTCCTGTTTCTAGCATTAAAAAGTCAAGGCTGCCTGGTGCACTGGCTCACACATGTAATCCCCACATTCTGGGAGGCCAAGGCTTAAGCCTAGGAGTTCAAGACCAGCCTAGGCAACATAGTGAGACCTCATCTCCAAAGAAAATAAAAAAATTAGCTGGCCTGGTGGTGCACACCTGTAGTCCCAGTTACTTGGAAGGATGAGGCTGAAGGATCACATGAACCCAGTAGACAGAGGATGCAGTGAGCCGTTATTGTGCCTGGGTGACAGAGTGAGACTCCAACTAAAAAAAAAAAAAAAAGTCAGGGCTTTTTTATTGTTTTGTTCAGTTATGTTTCCAGTGCATAAGCTAGTCTGGCACCTAGTAAAAATTTAATGCACATTTACTGAATGAAACAAATGAATCAGCCATTGCTATTGTGTCCAAAGCACAAAGCCACTCTAACAAAGTGGGTTTTCTCCTACCTGTCCTGCTAAAATTGAGTCACAATTACATAACAATCGCTAGCAATTTATGTATGGCAAGTTATTTTTCCTAATTAATTGAGAGTTCTAACTCCTGATGTTGAAACTTAAGTGGAGAAGATGCAATTTGCAAGCCAAGGGTATGTGGTCTGAACCTAACTTGGAAGAATCTATTCTTAAATTGGTGTACGAAGAGTTAGATTTTTTTTTGTTTTTGAGTTGGAGTCCCACTCTGTCACCCAGACTGGAGTGCAGTGGCACACTCCCAGCCACCGCAGCCTCACCCTGCTGGGCTCAGGTGATCCCTCAGCCTCAGCCTTCCAAGTAGCTGGAACTACAGGCATGCGCTACCACGCCCGGCTAATTTTTGATTATTATAGAGACAAGGTTGCACTCAATTGCCCGGGCGGGTCTCAAACCCATGGGCTCAGGAAATCCACTCACCTTGGCCTCCCAAAGTACTGGGATTACAGGCTAAGCCACCAAGCCTGGCCCGAATAATTAGGTTTAATCTCTTTAAATGGAAAGGAAGGAATGGATTGTAAATATATTAGAAGATTCCTGAATTGTGAGAGTTGGTCTAGCATGTTTTGGCTTTACAATCCTCATTTAACACCTTTGTTTCTTCTATGTAATAATTGGGTTTGACCTTGAACATGAATTGACACTCAAATCTTGCTGCCTCCTTTCATGTCTTCTTTTGTGTAAGCAGAGGTTTGAACACAGGGCTAGATCTGGGTATGATCCAGCCCAGACAAGAAGTAAATAGGTCAGCTTTGGGGGTAATTATGATGATAACAATATCTGAAGGCTTGCTGTATTTAGCAAGCATAGTTAGCATTCTCTTTTCTCCCTCAAGTCCCATGCTCACTCGTTGTGTGGACAATGAATTCACTATGGTGCTATGGAGTCATTGTAGTAGGTGGTGGTGGTATTATTATTATAATATTCTTTCCTTAAAAGTCCATGCCATTATCAGTCTAAAAATCAATCCGGCTTAGTCAACTCTACCTTCTTTAGGCAAGTGACATATTCTTTTTCTAGAAGTTAAAAAAAACCAGTTAATAAGATTAGTGTTTAATATGCATGCCTTGAAACGGGCACATTTATTTTCTCATAGCGATTAATCTCTCTTGCAAAGTTCAACAAATTTTAAGATAAATTTGATAGAGGGCCCACATGTAGAGATCAGAATATTTTACCCGGCATTTTAATCAGCTGCTGCCCTAGAGCTGTTCTTGCCACCCACAGCTCATTCTAGAAGACTGGGCTTCATGTGAATTCAAATTGCTCTAGACCAGCTATGCATACTGTCAGGGGCCAAGATCCAAACAAAATGGGAATAAAACAAATCAGACTCCGAAAAATTAAAACTTATGTGTTGTTGGAAATAACACCCAAACACTCACTATGCACTTTTTAGACTTTAAGGTAATAAATAGTCCCTTATTATGAGCAGATGATGAATTTTATGGAATGGAAGTTTTACAACAATGGTATGTCATACGCTTCACAGGGAAGAAAGATCCGTCCTCAATTCCACTGATTATCACTAACTGAGAATCACTATACTGTACAAAGTCAGGCCTAAAAGGTAAAATCAAACTAGGACTTACGGGATGTAGATTTGACATGTAATACCTCTGTCACTAAAAATTCCAGCAAATATACACTATGGTTCATGTAATGTTCATACAAGTTGTTCTGTGCCTATTTTTCTACTCTCAAGGGTGAGACTATCCAACAAGGATGACAAATGAAAATAAGAAATTCTGATCCTTACTTTTTGTTAGTTCTCTGAAGTCCCCATGAAATTAATCAACTATTATAAGCATCTTAAATTTTCTACTTGAAAACATAGACCTTATGTCAAGATTGATGGACTCCTAACTAAACTTACCAAGAAAAAGAGAGAAAAAGCCCAAATAAACACAATCAGAAATGCAAAAGATCAAGTCACAACAGATCCTGAAGATATACAAAAGATTATCAGAGACTACTATGAACACTTGTATGGAAACAGACTTGAAAACCTAAAGGAAATGGAGAACTTTCTGACATCACACAACCTCCCCAGGTCGAAACAAGAAGAAATCAAGACCCTAACTAGATCAATAACAATCAAGAAATTGACTGTGTCATAAGAAAACTACCTACAAAAAAAAGTCCTGGACCAGATGGCTTTCCAGCAGAATTCTACAAAACATACAAGGAGGAATGGATACCAACCCTATTGAAAGTATTCCCCCCCAAAAAAGGAAGTATTTCAGGCAATTAAGAAAGATGGAACTCTCCCCAAATCATTTTCTAAAGCTAATATCACATTGATGCCTAAACCAGGTAAAGATCCAACAAAGAAAGAGAACTACAAGTCAATATCCTTGATGAACATGGATGCTAAAATTCTTAACAAGATCCTAGCAAACTGGATCCAACAACACATCTCAAAAATAATCCATCACGACCAAGTAAGCCTCATCCCCAGGATGCAGGACTGGTTCAACATTTGCAAGACCATAAACATAATTAAATACATCAACATATATAAAAGCAAAATAAAAAAGATTAAAAAAAAAAAAAACTGACCCTGAAGAAATACAAAAGATTATCAGAGATTACTATGTATACCTATAAGGAAACAAACTTGATAACCTAAATGAAATGGAGGACTTTCTGACATCACACAACCTCCCCAGGTTGAAACAAGAAGACATTGAGACACTAAATAGACCAATAACAACCCAGGATATTGACTCTGTCATACGAAAACTACCTACAAAAAAAAAAGCCCTGGACCAGATGGCTTTCCAGCAGAATTCTACAAAAAGTACAAGGAGGAGCTGATACCAATCCTACTGAAAGTATTCCAGACAATTGAAAAGGATGGAATTCTCCCCAAATCATTTTATGAAGCCAACATTACACCGGTACCCAAACCGGGTAAAGATCCAACAAAAAAAGAGAACTACAGGCCAATATTCTTTATGAACATAGATGCAAAAATCCTCAACAAGATTCTAGCAAATCAGATCCAAAAACACATCTCAAAGATCATTCACTATGACAAGTAGGCTTCATCCCCAGGATGCAAGCCTGGTTCAACATTTGCAAAACCATAAATGTAATCAAATACATCAACAGATGTAAAAACAAGAACCACATGATTATATCACTAGATGCAGAAAAAGCTTTTGATAAAATCCAGCATCTCTTCTTGATAAAAACCCTCAAACACCTAGGTATAGAAGGAACTTACCTCAAAATAGTAAGTGCCATTTACAATAAACCCACAGCTAACATATTGCTAAATGGACAGAAACTGCAAACATATCCCCTGAAAACTAGAACAAGACAAGGCTGCCCACTCTCACACCTCTTGTTCAACACTGTATTGGAAGTCCTAGCTCAGGCAATTAGATAAGAGAAGGAAATCAGGGGTATTCAAATAAAAAAAGTGGTCAAGTTATCCCTCTTTGCTGATGATTGATCCTATATCTTGAAAATCCAAGAGAATCTGTCAAAAATCTGCTTGCTGATAAAGGACTTTGGCAAAGTCTCAGGGTACAAAATAAAGATACAAAAGACAGTTGCATTCCTATACACCAACAACAAGCAGGCAGAGACCCAAATTAAAAGCACAATCCCATTCACAATAGCCACCAAAAAAATGAAATACCTTGGCATCTTCCTAATCAGAGAAGTGAAAGACCTTTACAATGAGAACTACAAAACACTGCTCAAAGAAATCCAAGAAGACACAAACAAATGGAAAAATATTCCATGCTCATGGTTAGGAAGAATCAACATTGTTAAGTTGTCCATTCTACCCAAGGCAATCTACAGATTCAACCCAATACCCATTAAGTTGCCAACATCATTCTTCTCAGACAAGGAAATGACAATACAGAAATTCATATGGGAACATAGACGACCATGAATAGCCAAAACAATCCTTAGTAAAAGAAAAAAAGCAGAAGGTATCACACTTCCAGACTTCAAACTTTATTATAAGGCTACAGTAATCAAAACAGCCTGGTATTGGTACAAGAACAGGCATATAGACCAATGGAGTAGGACAAAGGTTCTAGAAGCAAAGCCTCAATTTCTCAACCAACTCATCTTTGACAAAGTCCTCAACAACAGCCACTGGGGAGAGGAGCACCTATTCAGTAAATGGTGCTGGGAAAACTGACTGACCACATGCAGAAGATTGAAACAGGACCCCTATCTATCACCATACACAAAAATCAAATCTAATTGGTCCAAAGACCTGAATGTAAAACTTCAAAGTATAAGAACCTCGGGAAATGCAGGAGACACCCTTATGGAAATTGGAACTGGTAACCAATTCCTGACCAAGACCCCAAGTGCCCATGTCATAAGGAATAAGATAGACAAGTGGAACCATATCAAACTGACAAACTTCTGCAAAGCCAAAGAAGCCATCAAGAGAACAGGGAGGCAGCCCACAGACTGGGAAAAAATATTTGCCAACTGTATATCTGACAAAGGCCTAACATCTAGTATCTACAAGGAACTTAAGTGTGTTGAAAAGAAAAAAACAAACAGCCCCATTAAAAAGTAGGCAAAAGGTATGAATAGACAATTCTCAAAAGAAGATATATGAGCAGCCAACAGATACATGAAAATATGCTCAGTCTCACTAATCATCAGATAAATGCAAATTAAAACCACACCAAGATACCACCTACCTCCAGTCAGGATGGCCATCATCAATAACTCAAAAAACATCAGATGCTGGAGAGGATGTGGGGAAAAGGGAATGCGTCTACACTGTTGATGGGAGTGTAAACTAATACAGCCTCTGTGGAAAACAGTTTGGCAATTCCTAAAAGATCTAAAAATCAACCTTCCATATGACCTCACAATCCCCCTTACTAGGAATATAGTTGGAGGAACTCAGATCTCTCTGTGAAAAGATACCTGCACACGTATGTTTACTGCAGCACTGTCCACAATAGCAAAAACATGGAACCAACCATGCTGCCCATCAAAAAAGGACAAAATCATGAACTTCACAGCAACCTGGATGGACTTAGAGTCTATAATACTGAGTGATCCATCACAGAAACAAAGAACCGAAAGGATTGGCAGTAGTGGGAAAGTGCAGGAGGGGGTGGTAGGGGGTTGGCAGTATTGGGAATTTGCTGGGGGTGGGGGACACAGCTCATCAGCAAGGGTACTTGCAAAATGAACATTTATATACCTAATCCTGAATTATACCCCACATCTTTAAACTAAAAAATTTCAGAAAAAATGAAAACATTAACTTCATTTAAACAGTGTTGTAGAGAGAGAGTCAGTAAGAAATAACTAGAACGATGCCTAATATATAGTAGGTTTACAATAAATATTTGTAAATTAGCAGATTCTATTACTTAATTCTCCACAACAACAAGCCAGAACATGGAAAATTAGGATAGTAGGTTCCTTTGTTTCTAAAAAAACATTTGTTCTTAAAAGTTACATAATAATTAAAAATATAACAAATACAATCCTTTTTTTCTCCTCACCTTATCTAGGAAGTAGGCATATGTGAAAGCAGAAATAAGAGAATCCAAGTCACACGATTTAGGTCCAATAACCACATGGACCTTTTCCAAGCGTTTGCTTCGATTCTGAAACAAATTCAAACAAAACATCAGAATTTAACCTGTGACAGATTAATGTAAAACAGAACTTTTTTCAATAGTTTCTTATAGTATGCCTTATCTGTCTTCATACACAGTGGCAGAAAATCATAAATTTGTCATAAAGTTTTATAGGAGAAACTAAAAACTCCACAACATGTTTAACATTCTGAAATATTCAAACTCTAGTTAATTGTCAGAAAGAGAAAATGTGGTTTTCTTAAGATTTTCCACAATTTAACTTCCTGTGAACTGTAACTATGAGTCATAATATGTTTTAGTAAAAGATCATTTTGTTCTAAGAAGCGAGTTGCATAGTATTCTATATCATTTCCTTACACAAGATGTTTTTCTTAATTTAAGAAGCAAACTCATATGCCTCTGGCACACAATGTAAACAAACACACAATTTGGTAAAAGTTTATTTTTCATGTCATGTTTTGAATGACAAGATATATTCTTTCTGCATTATAGTCGATAATTTAGTAAATAAAACTTGCAAATTTTCTCTCTCAGAGAAAGGAACATGATTAGTATTATTGCTCTGAAAATACAAATTTACAAGTGTGTAGGCTGGGGCAGTGGGTCACGCCTGGAATCCCAACTCTTTGGGAGGCTTACATGGGAGGATCACTTAAGGCCAGAAGAGCAATATAACACGACCCTATGTATGTATAAAAATTAGCCAGGTATAGTGGTGAACAGTTATAGTCCTAGTCACTTGGGAGGTTGAGGTGGGAGGATCCCTTGAACCCAGAAGTTCAAGGGTATAGTAAGCTATGATCACACCACTGCACTCCAGCCTGGGCAGAAGAGCAATAATCTGTGGAAAAATAAAAAAGATGTATATAGTCACCTCCCCGGAAGAGAAGACACACTGTTTTATTTCCTAGTCAGCTCGATAGTTACTTAAAATTCCCTTATGAAAGGCTGATATCCTTTTGAAAATTCCAAAAAACCAACTGCTTCTATAGCAAAATGGACTACTACAGATCATTGTAAGATAAATTAACATCTTTATAGTATTTCAGAGATGACACATGTGTATGCTTCCCCCCTTCATCGTTTGTTTTAGCTTCTTATTTTAGAAGGTCTAGAAGGCCAACTTAGTTGTAATACTGCTCCAGAGGCTATATAATAGGTTAGACTGTTCATGACTATTTTAATAAGTCGATGCTGCAGTGAGCCATTCAATAGGTATCATTGCTAAACTAAAATAAACTTACATTAAAAAAAGAGATAATGATCTTTAGTGAAACAACATGATTTAAAAATATGATATAAACTCTCTGAAGATAATTCAACCCCCTCCCACCATCACCAGAAATCTAGCTACCATTTCTTTCCTTCCTTGTGTCCTTCCCCTAATCTCATAAAAGTATAGCTGGCTCATTTGACTGAGCATACTTTAAGAGTTCTAGACTAATCCAAATTCTCACTCTCAAAGTCAGGCTCCCTCCCTTGTGCAAGACAGTCAAATGTTCTAGAAGCCCCTAAAGAATTTAGGCAAATAGAATTACACTCCATTACAACAAGCAAATGCATTAGGAAATCATATTACTGCAGAATGCTATTCTTCCGAGAAGCTCAAAGGTCTAAGTAGACGTTACCTCATTTCTCTTCCCAAATCTTGTAAGGCAGACAGTAAGAAGATTAACAACACTTTTTATAGGTCAGAAGAATCTGTGGTGGGGCTGGATTGTTCTCAGAACCTGGCCCAGTGCAGCAAGCCCCATCCCTTCTGTCCTGCACTAATGCTGCAATGACTCTACCACACCGTGACACGTATCCACACAACAAGTGAGCAAGGGAACTGAGGGAGAAAAGAGAATGCTAACTATGCATACTAAATACAGACATTTGTAGCATCATGATTACCCCCAAAGCTGACCTATTTGCTTCTTGTCTAAGCTCAATCATTCCCAGACCTAGCTCTATGTTCCAACTCCAGCTTACACCAAAGAAAACATGGAAAATGTAGCAAGACTTGAGTGTCAATTCATGGCCAAGACCAAACCAATTATTACTTAGATAGAAAAAAAAGAGCTAAATGAGGATTATGAATCCAAAGCATACTAGATCAACTCTCACAACTCAGAAACCTTCTAAAATAATTATAATCTATTCCTCCCTCTCCATTTAAAGATAAAAAATAAAAAAAGTCCAGAGCAAGTCAGGACCATAGCAGACCCAGCACAGATTTTTGAGAATTATCCTTGGTGCCACGTCTTTCTTTTCATGCTCTCTCATTTTTCTTGTCACTTCCCTTCTTCCCACACATCAAGTTCCTTCATAGCCACAGCCTTTTTCAATGCCCCTTATCCACATCTGCCACCCCCAGTCAAGGCACAGTCTCCAGGCTCCAACACCCTTTCTCCTATGACCCCCTTTATCAAAATGTACCATCTTGGTGCCCGGGTTCTCAGAGACCTACCTGCCTCAACACCAGTAATTCCAATGGAAAATATACACCAATGAATACATCTGGGCTAATGCATTATCAAAGTAAGATGTTTTCATTGTAGGTAGACCACCCAGAAATCATACCACAATTCAAAAAGATGACTGGACATTTTAGTTTGGCTGAGAATCCTGGAGCAGACAGAAGGGATACCCCTACTAGAAGTACCTTTGGTGCCTGCTAGTGAGACACAGTCTCAAAACGTCTCAGATGTTCCTAAGTGTCCGACCCCTACCAGTAGCCACTGATAAGATAGAATTGGAGGGCAGCAAAAGGTAACCATGCTCAGAAAAATCCCTTCCTGATTGGAGGAATAACACATGAAATTAGTCATGTAGACTCACCTTCTAGGTGAGCTCAAGGAAGGTGCAGATTGGGCTCTCCAAATTGGGGTCCAGAGCCAGAGAATAGAGGCCCCACTCAAGCTTTCCACCAGAAACAACCTTGCTGTGTGAACAGAGCAAGCACAGGAGTCAAGCCAACGCAGAAAGAGTCTGGGGACTGATTTCAGGTATCTGGGGCAGATAACAGGAGGTCCCCACAGTGCTGGTCCGCTCTGAAGTCGTGGGCCCACCTTCAGTGAAATTAGTTCACAGAACCCAGAGGAGACTCCTGACCCCAAAGATACTCTGCATTTCTCCCTGGTAATTTGTGGGTCCCTTCCAATTCCACATCTCCACATATTCAGAGACTCAGAGATGCTCGATCTTAATACTGATATCCCTTGATACAGTTCAAATTAGGTTTTGGATTATTCACACACAGGCAAATCATGCACAAATAAAATGGCAACAGTAATAATGATGAAAATGTACAGTTTTATCAATTCAGTGTATTATTGTCATTCAACCAATAAAAACCTACTTGTACCAGGCACTGTTTAGGTCCTAAAGATATAGTAGAGAACCAAATGGACAAAAATTGCAACCCAAGGCACCTGCAAGGATACATGATGAGTAAAAAAAAAAAAGATAAATAGAGAAAAAGAAACTGTGAAAAAGGGATAGGGTATGCTGGGGGTGAGACTCATGAGGAAAGCCACAATTGAGTAAGGATCCAAAGTAAGAAAGAGGGACTGAAAGGTATCAAAGGCCCTGATGTAAGAGCTGGCTCAGCATGTTCAACAAATAATTACTGACGAGTGTATACATTTTCTAAATGTGACTTTGTAATCTATTAGCCAGCAGTGATTGGATCTGGTAAGTAAATACCCACTCCCTAGTATCCACCAACCCAAGCACACCAAGAATTAAGGAATCCCAGGAGATAGGCGACGCTTGCTAATGCCTGAACCCAGCACTGCCCAAACCCAATACAAAATGGAATATGATAACGGGTTGAAATAGATACTACATTTAGGCCGGGCGAGGTGGCTCAGCCTGTAATCCCGCGCCTTTGGGAGGCTGAGGTGAGTGGATTGCCTGAGCCCGTGGGTTCGAGACCCGCCTGGGCAGCGAGACCTCATCTCTACAATAAATCAAAAATTCAGCCGGGCATGGTAGCACATGCCTGTAATTCCGGCTACTTGGAAGGCTGAGGCGGAAGGATCGCCGGAGCCCACCAAGTCGAGGCTGCGGTGGCCGGGAGCGGCCACTGCACTCCAGTCTGGGCAACAGAGTGAGACTCCAACTCAAAAAAAAAAAAAATAGATACTACATTGCTTTGTCATCTTGATTCACTCCCAAATAGATAGAATATTTCCATAATCAATGTATAAAAGAAAATATACTGAACATGCCAGTATTCCAGGTCACAAATTTAATATGCTTTCAAAGTGCGATCCTATATACCACTAAAATGAGACTTCTTAACAAAGTTAACTTATCTCTTTTTAAAAGCCTGAAAAATTACCTACACATTCAGATTATGCTGCACATTCAAGGAAGCTGCACATTCAAACCCACCTGGGAGAGTTGATCAGAAAGAGGGCTACCAGGCCCCTGCCATTAATCTGGGCCTCTTCAGCTTTTTCCCACCTCCAAGCTCTTAGAAACAAAGTTGCTTCTGCCTATAAACTTCCACATCTATAGCCTCACAATAAAACTCATCCGGAAGCCCTTGCAGTCCAGTTACATTATGACTTTTTTCAATAGGCATCCTCCCCAATTCTCTTTTCTTAAAAATGTTATGAACCTTTTTTCAAAAATAATTAATTGAAATGAAGTTTGTTTTATTTATTTGTTTGTGGTTCTTCGTTTTCTTTTCTTTTATATTTTCTTTTATTTTATTTTAAAGATGTAGGGTACAATTCACGGTTAGGTATACAAATGTTCATTATGCAGGTACCCTTGTTGATGAGGTGTGCCCCTTCCTCCCCTGGCAGTTTCCCTCAACTGCCAATTCCACACCCCTCCTTCCCTAACAGTTTCCCACTACTGTCAATTCCTTTCTTAAAGTATTATGATAATTGTTCAAGGTCCGCTTATAAGTGAGAACATATGGTACTCTGTTCTTTGTTTATGTGATAGATCACCGAGTATGATAGACTCTAAATCCATCCAAGTTGTTTCTTTGTTTTTTGACGG